CGGGAATAGGCTACCCGGCAACACGGGTTAGGTGTTGACTTATCCTTACTTAGGATTCAGGATAAAATTCCCCGTGCGTGTGAGGCACGGATTATGGTGTTATTAATAACAACCTGCCATAATGTTGAATATGCGGTCTTTTGTCCTTTTTACGGTCAAAGACTAACCGGCAATGCGTGTTAGACATAGACTTTGGGATTTTTGGCAAACCCCCAGCCATCAACGGGTTTGACGTGCCTTTACCGATTACCGTTTGAATCGGGCTTGCATGCGGATTGTTTAAGTCCGTTCCGCATGTGACGTTGTGCTAAAGGAATGAACTCCCTTAGACTTGATGCTACGACTTCGAATACGTAGACTTCGCCATTGTTACGGGAACAGGCTACCCGGCAACGCGTGTTAGGCGCTGACTTATCCTTACTTAGGATTCAGGATAAAAGTCCCCAGACTCGGATTCTGGTGTCTTCTTCAATCGGTAAAAGACTAAACCGGCAAGGCGTGTTAGGCGTTGGCTTATCCCTGCTTAGGCTTCGGGATAAAATTCCCCAGACTGGATTCTGGTGTCTTTTTCAATCGGTGAAAGACTAAACCGGCAACGCGTGTTAGGCGTAGGCTTATCTCTATTTAGGAGTTGAGATAAAATTCCCCGTGCACAAAGTGCACGGATTGGAAGTTGGGAATTGTGTCTTTTCTCAGGGTAAAGACGGACTGGAAAATGGAAGAGGAAGAATTTTATATTCTATCTCCCGGCACTGAAGAGGAAGAATTTTATATTCTATCTCCAGTTGGAAAGGAAACTCAAGGTGGGATCTCCACCCCCAGAATCCGAAATGATGAAACTAAGAGTGGGATCTCCACTCCGAGAATCGGAAAGATTCAAACGACCCTAACTTTTATAGGATTGGTCATTCGATCCAAAAAGAGTCCCTCATTTATTGAGGGGAAATTCCGATTTCGACCCTAACTTTTATAGGTTTGGCTGAAAAAGGAAAAGATGGAAGTCTTTCGTTTATCGAAAAAGAATGACTCGGTCTTAGTCTCAACTATCTGTAGGTTTGACTAAGTGAGATTGGGAACAATCCTAACTATTTCATTCGAGTTTATTGTAACGACTAAAGTTGTAATAGATTCGATAACAATGGAAATAGCAACTTTCACCGCAAACAAACTGGCGACCACAGTGGGAGGTTTGAGATGATCTTACCTTTTACAGGCTTGATCGTTCAATTTGAAAGTGGACCTCTCGTTCATGGAAGGAATCGAGAGGGGACTTTGGTTGTGGCCCTAACTATAGGAAGGTTTGACCAGGTAGACAGTGAGAGTGGGAGTACAAATCATAGTGGGGGTTTAGTGTTTATCACTTTGTTCGTAATTATTGGGTTATCCCTAAGAAAATTACATATAGCGTTCTTCTGGGAACTTCCCATTACATGAATCATCCACCCCCAGCTTCTTTCTTGGAACTGTGTCTGACTTTGTACTCCGTTACATTCCGGGTTATCCTTAAGAATATTAGCGTAACATTCTCCAGGAACTTTCCATCAACGGTA